TAGACTCGACTTTGAATGTCTAGAACACTTTATGTTAATTTTACTATGTAAGTAAATTTAGTTTGAGTCCTTGCTTGGAACGAGGGTTACTTTAATGTGAAATCATGAGGATTAATTGATTATGTGATGAATTTGTTTTTGCTATTTTACTTGGGGCATGTTTGTTAATATTTGGTTTGATTTGATTTTATTTTTTTTTAGTTTATGATTCCAAAAGGACATGATACTAGAAAAACTTATAACCAATCAACCGACATCATAAAAATGATAACCAATATGGTGGATTTTCATCAAAATTTACAAGGGTTTTGATTGATTCCTATCTGATATCATGTCTTTCCATTGTAGGGTTTTCCTTTTCTTGAAACTGAAGCAATTTCCGTGCTAATGAATTTTAGATTCAAAGTACTATATTGAAGTTCACTAGTCAAGAAGCAGTTCCTTTTCAAGGAACCCTTCCTTTGAATAAAGAAGTGATATTTTTTGCTTAATCTCAGGAAACCTTGTTACATGGTTTACAAGACTTTGCAGTTACTATAAGGGATTTATGGAACACAAATTTCATCCTCACAAAATCCATCCTCACGGTCTTTTCAACTGTGCATTGAGAACATCTCTGTACTCACATGATTTTATTCATGGGAGATATTCTCAATGCACGACTACAAGGCTAAGAGGATAGTGTGAGTTCAGATTTTGTGAGGACAAAATCCATATAGATAGTATCATAGAAGTGATTCTAAAATACTATATCCAAATTTAATAGTAACAAGAGGTTTTAAAATAAGCAGGATTAATTAAAACAGAGTATATGACATATATATTTAGTAATAACAATAGTGTAAATCAAGATGCACTTGGAACTAAAGACCAAGAGATAATTTAATGTGACCATTTCTTGTACCTTGGTTCAATAATTCATAACAAGGAAGAGATTGAAGAGGATGTCACCCAAAGAATTAAGAGTAGGATGGGAAAAATGGGGGGGTGCATTTGGACTTCTATGTGATAGGTGAATACCACTTTAGATTAAAAGGAAAGTTCTATAAAACAATTGTGAGGCCAATTATGTTGTAGGGAGACAGTGTTTGATTGCCAACAAACAACATGTCCAGAAAAATGAATGTGGCAGAAATGCAAATGCTACGATGGATTAACAGAAAAACTAGAAAAGATAGGATTTGAAATGAAGTTATCCATGCAAACTTAGGAATAGCTCTAATAGGTGATAAAGTGAGAGATAATCGACTAAGATAGTTTGGGAACATGCATAGAAGACCACCTACTATGCTAGTTAAAAGAAGTGATTTGTTATACATTGAAGGGCCTAGAAGAGCTCGAGATAGACCAAAAAAGAACATGAGTAGTAGTAAGAAATGATCTAAGCACTAATGATTTAACAATGCATATGACTTTAAATAGAATGGATTGACGAAATAGGACTCATGGAGCTGACCCCATATAGTTGGGATAAGGCATGGATGATGATGATGATGATGAATATTTGAATTTGAAATTAATATTATCATTTATTGAATTTAGATATGTACTTGGATATTACCATTAGCATGTATCAAATATATGAAGCATCAATAAATGTGTAGTTTGGGAATGGTATATAGCATTTTTGCTTTAGTCTATAATACTATTTTAGTTTTATTTTCATAATAGATCACATACTTTCCATGTGACTTTCCGAGTTTATGGAGAAACCATTTCAAACAATTTTTTTCCCTAGCTTCATAGCAACATTATTCAACCTTAGTGGTAGAAAATGCAACGGAATTCTAAAATTTAGATGGTTAAGATACAATTTTCCCATACAAAAGTGAATAAATACCTCGAGATAGATTTTTTAGATTCAAGATCTACTAAATCTTAAATCTATCTAACCTTCCAAAACTGATTTCAACCTCCAAACATAAGTATAACCTCCAAACTGATTTCACTTGACACTTGCAGCTTTTCACAACACCTACTGCACGAGAGCAATGCTTGGTTTTGTGTAAATCATAGTAGGGGTGTCAATGGACCTGTTTTGGGTTGGACTCTGTTCAAATCAAAATCAATTTGGACGGATTGGATGGACCAATAAGACATATTGAATTTGGATGGATTGGATGGACTAATATGACATATTGGATTGGACCTAGTCCGTTCATAATGAATTTATATTGGGTTGAGCCAATATCTGATCCATTGATAGAAGATAAGAATATAGGTATCAGTGACCAGGTTTGAGTTGAAACCAATCTAAATTAACAAGAATTTAAACAGATTGGATAGTCTCTGGACCGGTCCAAAATATTCTTTGTACTGGATTGGACCAGGTCCATTTGTAATGGACTCACATTGTACTGAATTGGATTGGACTAAGTCCAGTCCAATTGACACCCCTAGATCATAGCATACATCAAACTGCTCTTTGTGCACAATATTGGTACTAGATCCAAACGTTAGTTTGGGTACATGTATTTGGTGAATGCATGTGATGACTCCCATTGTTTTCTAGGCTTCCTCATAGTTGAGTGGTTGACAAAAGCAGTTGATTAACACCCATGACTCCACCTCCTATAATGAATATTCTCCCATAGTTGAGTAATTGTTGACTCCTATGTTCTGATCCATTCATGGATGACTTTCCATTTAGCTATTGACAATTGAGTGAGGGTTCTCTATAGTTTGTGAGCAAATGGCTCTTGGTTGGTACATGTCAAACTTGGTGATATAACAATGTTTACTGTTCAAAAGTGGTGTTGGGGATTGTTTAACCCCATAGATAAAAAACAAAGGATTTATGTATAAGGATTTGCCCACAACGTAATGACTCAAGCTTTTGGATCAAAGATGGTATCCAACTCTTGTGTGTAAATCCAAGCTCTTCAATGTGAGCCCAGATCTCCTACCCACGAGAATCCTGCCCACGTTTATCATAGCCACACATGGAGAACATCTCACCCTCTGTATAGCATTATACAGGGGGAGATGTTCCCAATTCACAGGAGGTGGTAGGGCTGTTCATAAGAAGGCCCAACCCGACCAAACCGACCAACCCGGACTGATCCAACCCGAGTCGGCCGGGTTTTCTTCAGCACCGGTCGGTTTCGGGTTGGGCAAATTTATAAACCGAAATATCGGGTCGGTTTCGGTTTCCTTGTGTAAAAACCGAAACCAACCTGAAACCGAACCGAACTAGTCTTCTACTAGTTCGGTAGTTCCTAGTTTCCTATTTAACTAGTCTTCTACTAGAACTAGAACATCCCTATCTTCTAGTTCCTACTTAACTAGAATTAGGTGTCCTCTTTTACCTAGATTAGAATTTAGAAAGTTTCTTTAAATATAAATATTTCAGTCTTCTTTCTATAAAACAGTTTGACCTTCTATTTTATTGTCTTATTGAATATTGAATATTGATAACTTTTGTTTTCTATAAAACAGTTTTGTCTTTTGTCTTATTGAATACAAAAACTTTTTGAGTGGAACAGAGGTTAGTAAGGTTGACACTGGACCAAAGGTGAGACAAGTTTTAAAAATAAGGTTTGACTATAGGAGCAAAACCGAAACCGACCCAACTCGACTCAAACCGACTATGTCGGTTTTGCCTATCAGTGGGTCGGTTTCGGTTTCCACCTCAGGTAACCCGACCAGGTCGAGTCGGTTGGGAAAACCTCAATAAACCGACCCAACCCACAATACACCACCTAGGCGTGGGCAGGAGATCCAGAGTCCTTCAATGTTTGTGATTCCCGTTGTTTAGGTTCACTTTGCAAATAAAGGAAAGACAACAAGGATCGTGGTTGGAACACCAGGATTATGGACTCAACCGATCAGTTTCTTATAGAAAATATACTTGACCGAGTCAAGTGGTGAGTCAACCGGTTCTTGGTTTCCATATATGATTTATACAATAATATGATATAAGTATGATAAAATCTATAAAAATAAGAAAAAATATATAGAAATTATAAAAAAATTATAAGAAAAAGGTAGGAAATGCTACTCTCAGTGCATATATTGACCTACCAGCGTTTATAATCAGCAAAAGAACTTTTTCCCCATTTCCCAAGCACTGTATTGCTGTACAAATACAGGAAAATGGCAATAGAGATAATACTGTCATTAATTTATGGAAAAATAGCATCCAGTTCTTCATATTTCCCAAACCCTCAGATTAGTTCCAACCTATTGGAACTGATATGATGAACAAATCAAGAATAAGATAGACTAGGTCGAACTCTGTCCGAATCAAACCAACTCCGGGCTGATTTTAGACCCTCCTGATGATTCATTATCGATTCACGAGTTGCCTGAGTGGGGATCTGGGTTTCCAGATGTGCAGCTAATTTGGTCTATGATAAGTTTTCTCCTCTATAAGTCTATAAATAAAACACAATTTTTGATGCCTGGTCTCTTGAGATCTGACTACAGCGTGCTGCAAAACAATAGTTCATGTATGCCTTGAACCCAACTCCTCTCTCCACTGTAAAACATATTTTTCACCACACTAGATGCATTTGCCTGTTAGCTTCAAGTTCTGTCTAGCTAGCTACTACTGTTCAGAGAAGCAATCTACTGTCTCCAGGTCTAGTGCTGGGACCGGTTGTCAATCACATTTAGCTGCCCAGTTTGTGTGCCAGCTATTCAGATTGAATACCTGATCAATAAACACTTGTAAGTCAGCATCTGTTCTCATGACATGCTTTGGATTCCATCTCTGCTAATGGAGCTCAGATTGCTGATATTCTAACCAGAATACTCTCCTCAATGTTTCAACCCCAGTTCTTATAATGATCTTTTGTTCCATTATCTGACAGTAGGGTAGGGCCCAAAGATGACACAGTAGAATGTGAAACCACAGAGTGGGGCCAAATACTTGATCAGTGGTTCCATTATTGGATATGGATGTAGTGCTAGCAGAACAGTTCTTGGACCAATAGTTTCCTACCTCTGAACAAGTTAGTTATCCTTCTATGGATTTTGTATTGTTGAAGAAAACTAGCTAAGAAAGATGAACAAAATTGAGAATCAATGAAATGAACATATAAATATATATATACACAGTTGTTTCATGTAATTGACAAAAAAAGCTACATGATTTAATCAATTTCTTCACAGAGAGGCTGGTCGTTGGGCAAAAGGAGTTTGTCTCTGCTTAACATCTAGACCCTTCAACACCTCTCCACCACATCTCCTCTTCCAAAGACTAACCACTTCGCCTCCATCCTTACCATCATTTGGCGCCCGTTTAACAACTGGTAAAGGGGGATCCAAATCAACGATGCTGATGCTGATGCTGATGGAAGAGTAATCTTCTTGCTCATAATCAAACCTGTCCCTACTCCTACCCACGAGCATCTGTCTTCTGCTACTGCTAGTGCTAACCAGATCCTTGCTTGAGAACATCTTCTGAAGCTTGAAGTATTTCTTCTTGCCATTATCCTTACTATGGGTGCATCTCTGGTGAGTTGGGAAACCAACCACCTTGTTGCTCCTCTTGACCTGACCCATGCATCCAACTCTAGGGGACACAGGCTCCTTGTAGCTGCTGTACTCATCGGCGGCATTGCCGTCGCACTTTGGGAGCCTCTCCTTCCTTGTCACCGGCGGCCTCAAACACAACATTGGTATGATTGATCTTAGGCGGAACCAGTGATGATTTTGCTGGTGATTATACTGATTTCCCATGTCTCCTTTTTAATCTTCTTATTGCCTTAAACCCTCAGAATTGTAGCCCACAGAGAGAGAGAGAGAGAGAGAGAGAGAGAAAGAGGTTGAATGATTTGAATCAGAGGAAAGGGGTTCATTGGGTTTGCTTTAAATGAATTTGCAGAGATGGCCGTTTCCTTTGATAGTAGGGTTCTAGGAAAGGATATCTTCAGGATCAAGGTGGACCATTATTTTGGACCCATTATTTCATGGCTGCATATTTATATTATATATCTAGCTGTAGACTTACAAGCCATAAACACATAACGAGTACAACAATTACTTTAATGAGTCCATAAGGACTAAGACAAAGACGTGTTTGGTGTTTCATTAATACCGTGTGTATGGCTTAAGCGTGGCCAGCCAGAGTCAAGGCAGAGCTGAGACCAAACCAAGCTGCCCCAGCTAGCAGTCCATCCCACGGTTGATGATGATGATCTTCACCTTAATCAGTCTGGTCAGCCACCCACCGGACGGCTACGATGGTTTTGGCAAGCTTCATGTGGGACCTACATGGCCCTATACATATCTTCCATTTGTGTACTCGTGATTTTTATATATGGGTTACTAGTAATTTATGTGTAAAGTAAGTCCCCCAAAATCTAGGCTATCAGAAGCTAGCTCCCCTCAGTAATGGAGAAAGCACATGGAAGGCACGTGTGGATGAAATATATGTTAGTTAGAGATGAACAGGCCCAGCCGACACACTGCATATGGCCTTGTCTCAAGCATGTGAAGAACACATGTGAAAGGTAAAGGCCGGTCTGGTCAATAATGTAAGATGATGAACTGATCACATCCACCACTGATTCCACCCATAACATATTAACATGGTTTCCCATCATCATCACCTTCCATTCCCCATTGATTTGGCATCTGATGTGGGAGGACCCACCAGTTGAAATAAACTGATCAAGTGGGTTGTGATCTTACCATCATCAATCTGCTAATTGGTGGGTCCATTGATACAATATAGTAGGTTGAAACCCTTATCTGGTAAGCTGATGGTCAGATGGCTGATATATAAAAATTAGTCGGTGACCCATGTCTCTAAACTCTAAGTCTGCACCTTCTGAATTATTTAAGTTTAAAAGTACAGATTGTCTCTGGGGCCCTAACACTGTTTCTGTATTTGAAAAGCACAAGAAATATGGTATTGTTCTTGTTGTCTCTCTCTGCACTCTGCAGAGGTCCATACAGGCCGGCCGGACCTGTCAAAGTGAGCAGACCCAGATCCAAGAAGCTAACTCAAACATTTGATAAATACTTAAATACATTAACAACTGTATTAAGAATTAAGATAAGAGCCAGTGGTTTCATTGTGTTGTGTGCAGGGTATCTTGCTTCCAGTTCATGGTGTCTTTGCATTCGGACCCGTCCAATGCTTACTTTTGTATTGTTTCAGAAGGAGCTTAGTGCACTGTCGGCTCGGGTCGAAGTGGCTGCAAAAAGAACAGAGAGGACAGATCAGTGCAAGCGTGGAGCAATGGCTGACACTTGTGGTTGGGAACAAAAGGAATATCTAGTGTCATACCAACCAAAACCAGTCCGGTTCGGGTTCTGATAAATGGGTTTGGGTTGTTGTAGAGCTAGGCAGCTAGCCCAATCAAAAGAAGACCCTTCTTCGGGGTAAAGTAACAAATCTGTTAATTCAGCAAAAGTTTCAAAAGTTAAGAAAAAGTCATGAATTATTCGGGAAAATGAACAATTTGTTTGGTATATATAAAATTTTTACGTAAAAATATGGGATTTTTTGTTTTATTATATATTTATTTATATAATTAATTATATTAATATTTAGGTAAATACATAAATTAGCAAATCATACAACAAATTATGAAATGCCAGATTTTTATCCTATATTCCTAACTAAAAACTTATCATAATACATACTTGTTGACCCATTTTAACATGTTAATGCGTGTTTGACCCATTTTTTGTTCTTGTGAATGAATTTAATATAAACTTTCCCCACACCATCTTGCTGTAGGCTGAATTGCTAAACATTAGGTGGGCAAACGGGTCGGTAGTCGGTTTTTAGTGTGAAGGGGGGATTTAGACCCGGTAAGGAAAAGGGAATGCGCTATTGAGCTCACCAACTTCTATAAGCTTGCAAAGAATAAAGATATGGATGGAAGCAGATAACTCATTCTCATTTAAACACTTTTCTTTTCTTTTCCTTCACTTTTCTCTCGGATAACGCCAAAGCAAACGTGCATCCTGCTAGCAAAGAGAAAAAGAACATTATCATTGATCAAACCTTTGGGTAGGTAAGGTTTGGATTGGACAAGTCCTTTCCACACTTAGTTCATCGCCTCGGCCCAAAATGGCCCAAAACCAGCATGGGTCTCTTTGAACTAGGGTCCCATAAATGGCCCTAAACCAACATAGATAGGGGTGTCAATTAGATTGGGTTTGGTCTAACGTGAGTCCATTATAAATGAATTAAGTCCAATCCAATCCAATGAAAGTTTTGGACCAATTTGGATCAGTTCAATTCAGTGTTTGGACTATCCAATTTATTCAAATTCATTTTGATTTAGATTGATTTCAACCCAAACTCGGTCTATTGATACATATATTCTTATCTTATAATAATGGACCAGATATTGGTTTAATCCAATTCAATCCATTATAAATTTGTTACAAACAGACCAGGTCCAATCCAATCTAATAAATATTTTGGATCGAATTGGTCCAATCCAATATGTCTTGTTAGTCCGTCTAATCCATCCAAATTGATTTTGCACTGGATGTGGTCCAATCCAAACCGGTCTATTCACACACTTAAGTGGTGGTGATCATAAGAACGAGACATTGGAAGGTGTCAAACTTATGGGGCCCCAGATCAAAGAGGCTCATGCTGGTATTTTTGAACTTGAACTACAGACCCTATGATGGAAAAAGTCAATCTTGATGGTTAAATTTGAGATTCAAATTTGAACTGCAACAAATTCAAATCAAATATTCAATTTTCATTAGGTGTGAGACTGTCATCTGAGATGTGAAAGTCAACTATTATTTATTGTTATTTTAGTTTCTTTTTTATGGCAGTACCAGCCTTTGACAAATAAAAATAAAACAAATCAACCAATCTGGGGGTACTTAGTCGTGTATAGAAATCTATCTTATTAAAGAAAAGTCGTTTTTAACAAAGAGAACAATATGAAATCAACTATGAGGTTCCTTGGTCGTCTTTATCTTATGGTGTTTGATATTTGGATTTCTCAAATCAGTTTTTTTATTTTTTTTATTTTCTCTTGGAATGAAATACAAGAAAATGTTTAACATGTGGAAGGTAGTTTGGTAATCAAAATGGGCTTGCCCACTCTCTTTCCACGTGGCAAATTAAAACGAGTCATTTTTCTCATCCTATTTTGTTTGTTGAAAAAAAAAAGAGGGACCATTTTTGAAGGATAAGAAAGCAATATATCTAAAATGGGGTCTCTGATATGAGCTTTAGAGAGTTAGAAGTTGATGTGGGAACTTGACATACGTGGGCCAAATCTAAGGGGAACCATTATCAAATTGACGGTCTATATTCAGGCAGGCAGTCAGGCTTTCACAAGGCAGAAAACCCATGTTATTCGAGGCTTCAAACCAAATCTTTCATACAGTTTAAAATCAGATCGGACTGGATGGTCAGACTAAAAAAATCAGGATCAGTTCTTTTTTATCCCAAAACTGTTATTTCATCAAAAACCATTGATTTGGTCAGTAAACTATTGATCTAGGCAATTAAAATCATTTAAACCGTTCAACGGTTTTGACTATTTATTTTATTTTTTAATTTTTTGTCAAAACAAATCATCCATTCGATTTGAATGATTGGACCGTTTGACTCAGAAACCGGACCTGACTGATTCGTCGTCCGATTTGGTTTTAAAAACCTTCGTCTAATCAGTCTATGAACCGGTAGAACTATGATCTAATGAGCTTTCTGGTTTTGTCTCGTCCCAGTCTGACAATAATATTGCTTCAAGTTCAAACCAATTTGTGACGGTTCCAGCATAAACACTTTTCCTAGATTACTTTATATTATAGTAGTCGCTCATTGACTTCATCACTTCACAAATTCGGTTTAGGTAAATTATAGATAGGTAGTGACACTTAAGGGCCTGAACCTTTAAATGTATCCTCAATTTTTAAAATAATATATATGATTCCAACTCTGTTAAAATGGTATGGTGAACGTAAAATTATAAAAATGCCCATTTTCAGACTTTTTTTATTGTTTTGTGTTGTTCCACTCAAATGCTTCTATTCGTTAGAGATGGTTTCATATGAAAAAAAAAGAACAAAATAAAAGCTCAAAAGAAAACATAAACATGGTCATTTTTGTAATTTTGCCCTCAATGTAACATCAGTTTTAATAGACTGCATATTTCTAAAAGTTCAGGGCACTAAAATGTCCCCCTTGAAAGTTCAAGCCCTTTAAGTGTTATTGCCCTTAAAGTATATGGCACCTATCTGTAATTTGCCCTAGATTTTAGGGTAAATTGTTGAAACCTCCCATGCAGTTTAGTAATTGCAATCATCTCTCCTGAACTTTCTGACAGAGTGCAGGTGGATTATCTTTATTAGAATCTTTTAAAAAGAGACGTGAAAATGCCAAAATATAAATTTTATTTAAACAAAAACACAAAAAAGAATTTAAAATTGTAGCTTTACCCTTGAGTGATTGATATGAAGGACAAACTTGGAAAATAAATCAATTCTAGAAAAAAAAAAGATTGGGAGGGTTTGGGATAGCAATTCATATATAAAAAAAATTGGAAAATAAACATTTTGGTCAAATTCAATGCATGATTATTTCATGCCTCTTTTTAGAGGATTCTATCAGAAGGGCTTACTTGCAACTATGTCAAAAAGTTTCAGGGGAGGTTTCAGCAATTTACCCTAGTTTTTAATGATACCAAATTATGAATTATAATCAAAGACAACTTCCTATGAACCTCAATTTAACATATAATTGCACATCAGTTTTCAAAGTCACTGGTATGCTAAATAAGTAAATACAATGATTTAGGACAAATGGTCATATTCAATGAATAATACCCTTTCTGTGTTTGGAAATGATGCAAATAAGCGTGAATGCAAATATGTAGAGTGTAAAACGGTTCATATAAATTGTAAAATTGGGTTAATTTTGCACTGACAAATTTATCTTTTTACCAAACAGATT